GAAATTTGGCACGGTGGTAGGCCTTAGGGTAGAAAACGCCTGGAAAAAGTTTCAGAATTTGAACTGCGAATTCGAACGAGCCACAGGCCTGCCAACTTAGCACCATTGCTAAAAATGCGTTCTTTTCCAACCTGTGCAGTTCCCTTCCTATCGCAGTTCAAATTCTGAAATTTGGCACGGTGGTAGGCCTTAGGGTAGAGAAAACGTGGAAAAAGTTTCAGAATTCGAACTGCGAATTCGAACGAGGCACAGGCTTGCCAACTTAACGCCATCGCTAAAATGTGCTCTTTTCGAACGTCTGCAGTTCCTCACCTATCGCAGTTCAAATTCTGAAATTTTGCACGGTGGTAGGCCTTAGGGTAGAAAACATTTGGAAAAAGTTTCAGAATTTAAATTGCGAATTCGAACGAGCCACAGGCCTGCCAACTAGGCACCATTGCCAAAAATGCGTTCTTTTCCAACCTCTGCAGTTCCCTTCCTATCGCAGTTCAAATTCTGAAATTTGCCACGTTGGTAGGCCTTAGGGTAGAGAACACCTGGAAATTGTTTTTAGAATTTGAACTGCGAATTCGAACGAGCCGCAGGCTTGCCAACTTAGCGCCATCGCTAAAACGTGCTCTTTTCGAACGTCTGCAGTTCCTCACCTATCGCAGTTCAAATTCTGAAATTTAGCACGGTGGTAGGCCTTAGGGTAGAAAACATTTGGAAAAAGTTTCAGAATTTGAACTGCGAATTCGAACGAGCCACAGGCCTGCCAACTAAGCACCATTGCCAAAAATGCGTTCTTTTCCAACCTGTGCAGTTCCCTTCCTATCGCAGTTCAAATTCTGAAATTTGGCACGGTGGTAGGCCTTTGGGTAGTGAACACCTGGAAATTTTTTTTTAGAATTTGAACTGCGAATTCGAACGAGCCGCAGGCTTGCCAACGTAGCGTCATCGCTAAAATGTGCTCTTTTCGAACGTCTGCAGTTTCTCACCTATCGGGGTAGTTTTGAGAAGGGCTACAAAATTAAACGGCTCCAAGCCCAATTTTTTAAAATGACTGATATCGTTAAGGGTCTGGGCGCAAGCTTCTTTGAAATGGTTGCGTGGACAGTTTGGGAATCATTCATCCGATGACAAGTTTGATGTTCCGATACGTTTTCAAGATAAGAATAGAAATTTCTGAATAAAGTAAAATAACACATGCAGGATGTATTGTACAAAATAATAATAAACAAACTTCTTTGGATAAAAATATTGCTTCTGAAGTGCTGATGGCACCATGCCATGCATACTCACTTTTGAGAACTTCCGCATAAAGTTTTCCATTTCCTCTATCTTTTCTTTAGTGAAAGCTCGGAGAGCTGTCTCATTGTCAAATCCTAGATGCTTGAGGAGTGCCACAATGGATGAAGGTAATGTACCGTCAACGGGGGTAACTTGGGACACTTTTTCACGTTTTTTTAACGCCAGAGGCAAGATTTTCAACCCAGACCATTGGATCCTAACTATGTTAAAGTTTGACCCTTTTCTTATGATTTCATGCTTGTCTGCATCATTTGCCTTGATTACATCGTTTCCCAGCAGTCTCGAAAGAGTGTCCCAAGTTACCCCATGGCCGGGGGTAACTTGGGACAGTAGGTAATTAGCTACGTTCTCATGCATCTATTGATGTTAATGGACGTAATAAATTTAAGTCACAACATATGGACCAAAAATTCAGGCCTAGGAACTCTTGAAGGACCGATATTGGATTATATCTAGGGCTCTACGTGGAACTCTCTTTTCTACTGGTATTTTCCAGGCATTTTCTGAAAATTTCAAAATATGGATACCCAGAAGACAAAACTGCAGAGCAAGGCATCTCTTTCCATCATGAGCGTCAAATCCGAAGTTTAAGTTATGTCAGGGACCGGGTCAGTCAACTCCTAGCAGGCTAGGACTGTTGGAAACATGAGGAAAAGACTGTCCCAAGTTACCCCGTAAAATTTCGATTTTTGAGAAAATGAAGTCTGGACCGAAGATGGGAAAACTATAATCAACGCCCTTTTGCGAACGTTATTGTCTGTGTATGATCTAACAACCCAGAGAGACTGATCGGCCAAATCTGCATATCACTCCTTGCACTAGGGTCAACTTGTCAATGTTTGACATATTTTGTCAAAAACCCTATTATGTAGTTTCCCGTTTCTCAAATACTAATTGTGATGTTATGCACCTCTTCCACCTTTCCGCGCATGCCCTGAGGCCTCTGAAACAAAACCCTGCCGCGGGTTTGACGCTAGGAACCCCCGTCGCTGAATGGCAGCACCAACAAGCTGTACAGGGCAGACTGTCCCAAGTTACCCCCGGTGTCCCAAGTTACCCCCGTTGACGGTAATCTTTGTTTTCAGCGATACATTTTCCCAGAATAAAGCCTGAAACAGACAGAAAGCATAAAATATTAAACTAGAATAAAAAAAGAATAGGAAAAATGAACACAGATCAAGTGGCTATTGCATCTGCATCACTATGACATGGCCAGTGCAAATACCCCATGCTCAGCAATATTGCATGGCCAGCGCAGATACTCCGAGCTCTGACTGTAAATACCCTTGCTCCTGTGCCTAGGCCTGCTGTAGCTGGACGGCTGGACCTGGACTAAACTTCGTCTGTTTAAGCAATGCCTAGTGCACGTAACCGAAAGTTCAAACTAAGGACCTAGTCCTAGATGTGTCCCTGTTAGTTAAGAATATCTAAGTCCAGTCCGTGTTCAAAATACGCTAAAATTCAACAAAAGACTTTTTAAACCTAAAGTGCTGTGCCCATAACCTCAAACTGACTCGACCAAAACAAGAAGTTAAATCCAAACTACTAATGATTTAACACTAGAACCGCGGAGGGGGTCAATTTGACCCCTTTTAATTTTCGTCATAAATTTTTCTGACTTATTTTTTTCTTCTCGGATTTGGGGCTTTTTGACTTTTTATAAATACCAGAAAAGAACATTTGAGTGAAATTTCGGCGCTGTCGGACCATTTTTGTGGGCGTAGGACAATAATATACCTAGAACCGCGGCAGGGGTCATTTTGACCCCTGTATGTTTGCACTCAGGAAGTTCGAATTTTGGCAATAAAAAAGGGTCACAAGCGTCAATTTTAGTGGTGAATCATTTGGGAGTGGTATGGACTGCCCTGGGAGACCTAACTTGGCCAACGGCATAGGCGACCCGCCGAGCAAACGCCTAAATGTATGCAAGATGCGTGTGTTCCGCGTAAGGTATCTGTAGAATAAAAAAATCTCATTCAACGAACGTTAATGAAAGCAGATGATACTCGTTTGGTTTTCTTCGAGGTAGTAGTTCGGGCTTTTTTATAACTGTGTATGAAATAAATAGATAGCCCAATAATATACATGGACCTAAGCGAGCTGGCCAATGTCGGTGCGAGCCGAGCTGTGGCTTGCACCGGCCGAGCCGTGAGACATTGTTGATGTTCTGTGCGCGCTGTACCCGGGGACAGGGGATTGTTGGCCGGTGCCGCTCGCGCTGTACCCGCGAGGTATTGTCGATGTTTCGAGCAGACTGCCTGCCATGCGACACTCACGATCCCGCCCGGCAGCCACCACCCTAATATTATTGTATTATTGTTAGGATACCGCTTGGTTTCTGGACTCTGCAGTAAAAGCACGGTGACACCTTTATGTTTAATAGTTTTAAATACGTTTCAAGTGTAAAGGTATCATCTGGTAAAAAATCTACGTCACTTAGTACCCATCCCCACACTGAATAACAGGAAAAGTTGCGATATACATCGGAAACTTTTGCCCGTCCCGTACATTGAGGAATGTACTAATTTCGCCTATTTTTAATCCGGACGGGACTTGAACCTGAGTCTGGGGTCAAAATAGATGTTTTTAGATCAGCATAAATTAGATCAGCACCCTCATACACATCAACAATGCAAAAACTCGAATAAAAAGAATGTTCTAAATGTCCCCCACTGGGATTTGAACCGGGTTCAAACTTCTCCGATTCGCTTGAAACTGGCACCGTTGGTTTGTCTCGTCCCCCCGTTTCCCAAAAAATTTTCCCTTCATGCTCTTCTAGCTGTATCCGTTGCCGAAATCCTCCTCGACCTAAGGTAGACCATGATGCACCTGCAGCAGCCCCCCCGGGGCTCGGATCGGATTTGCTGCCAGGGGGCGGTTCTCAAGGGTCACCCAAGTAGGCTGATATCAATTGGTCAAGATCGGACCACGGGAAGTCCCAGACGGACGAACGAACGGACGACGCCCAGCATGGATCATACTCCGTCCCTCCGTCATTTTTTTAACAAAAAAATACAAGGGACGGGCCAAAAATGGTAAAAAAGGAGCAAAACAGGTTATTCGTGCCATGCGGGTTGCCTACCTTTGGCCTTTTAAGGCCCTATATAATTAAAAATATCATTGTTGATCTCAGATACATCATTTACATCGTTAAGGGCCCATAACATGAGCAAAATAAAAAAAAAACGGGCAGAAAAAATGGGGGGTCAAAGGACCCCTTCCGCGGTTCTAGGTATACGAAAAAGTCAGCGGTTCTGGGTTTAAGTAGCTCTTAATTGATGGTTTTGCCAACCTTTCAGTTCAGGTGGCTATCAAGGGACCAAGGCAATGGGGAATAGTCCTTTTACTCCCTGCCCTCTCCGCTTTGGCGTTACGCCAAGACGTCCTCCAAGGGGAAATAACTCCAGCCAAATGTTTACACCGAAATTCATCAAACTTGTAAAATTCACTGAAATTAATTAAAATTCATCGAAATTCGACTGAAATTCATCGTACTGCGAGTGAAATTCATCCAGTTTCGACAGAAATTCGGCGGAACTTCGTCGAAATTCGACTGAAATTCATTGGATTTGTAAACTGGAATTCACAGTGATTTCCCCTTGACGTCATCTGCCTCTTCAGTAAATATTTGACTTAGCCGGTAGTCTATCATACTACAAAGTGACCAAAAGTAATGAATGGAGGGCTCTAATTTTGAAATTGCACAGCTTTAGTGTTTATTTTTTATGTCTGCAGGTGTGGCGTTGAAGCCGTGTGGCGATGGCCCCGTGGTGGGCATCGACCTGGGAACCACCTACTCCGTGGTGGCCATCTACCGCAGGGGCAAGGTGGAAATCTTCTCCAATGACAACGGCAGCCGCGTCACTCCCAGTGTGGTGGGCTTCATGGACGGCGAGTCCTTCGTCGGGGAGGCGGCCAAGGACCTGCCGGCCGACAGGCAGGTGTACGGTAAGACATTGCTAGCATCCCCGAGCAACCCATGCTCATGGACCTCGTCTCCTTCTTAAATAGAAAAACCCCCACGGTAAAAACGGAACCTGGTTTTCCCAGGAAGCCCCAAACCCATGGCGATTTCCAGGGAGTTCCTGGGAAAACCAGGTTCCGTTTTTACCGTGCACACCACGATATAAAAAATTGGCTTTTTGGTACATGGGCATCTTGAAATGGGACATTGACCCATTAAAGGTTTTTCTCAGGAACCGAGGTGTAGCAACTCCAGAAAATTTGTACACAGTAATTCATGGACAATGTCGAATTTTAGTCAAATCCCTTCAAAATCCATGAGTTTAAGTCGAATTTCGGAGAAATTCATAAGAACCAATGAAATTCGTATCGAAATTCATGGGAATTTTGTTGCAATTCATCGAAATTCATCAGAAATCCCTGGGGAATTAAAAACTCTGTAGGTACATTGGAATTGAGAGCCATTTCCCCTTGTTCGTTTCGCAGACGCCAAGCGGTTGATCGGCAGGCCCTGGAAGGACGAGAAGGTGCAGTCCGA